GCTGCTGCTCTCTTCCCCAGCAGCAGCAGCACAGTCTTGTCGCTCTTCGGAGCAGCAAGAAGCATTTCTTTGCTGATTCCAATCTTAATGAGAATTCTTTTTGTTCATTTCAATATATTTTCTTTCCGGACTCTTTTGCTGCTCTTTGCATGCGCCGGCCTCGGCTCCTGCTTCCTCCTGGCCCTCTTCTTCATCCCCTACCGGCCCTTCCCCCCCCTGCAGCAGCAGCAGCAGCAGCAGCAGCCGCAGCAGCAGCCGCAGCAGCAGCAGCAGGAGGAGGGGGCTGTGGGGAGCGTGCAGGTGGAGGTGGCTGCGGAGTGCGCTGCGGGCGCGAAGGCCGCGGAGAAGCCCGCAGCAGCAGCAGCAGCAGCAGCAGCAGCGACGCCGTTTTTGGCGGAGCTGCTGCGGCCCACCTTTTTGCTGATGGCTGCTGCCTACATCCTCATGATCTTCAACTTGATGTTCTTCGTGCCTTCCACGCAGCACTTAATTCCTGCTGCTTATGCTGCTAACCAGCTGCTGCAGGTCTTTTCCTTTTTGCCGTGTCCGCTGCTGGGCTTTGCTGCTGACAAGGCCGGCGTTCTTGCTGTTGTCCATTTTCTCAATTGCTGCTGCTGCCTCAACTACCTCTTCGTGCTGCTGCCCCGCATCCCCACCTTCCCCGTGCTGCAGTACCTCGCCGCAGTTTGCTGCGCCCTCCAGGTCCCCTGCTGCTGCGTGCTGCTGCACTGCTGCTGCGGCTGCTGTGCTGCTGCAATGCTGCTGCTGCTGCAATGCTGCTGCTGCTGCAATGCTGCTGCTGTCATGCTGCTGATGTAGGTGTCTGTATGTCTTTCTGAGAATTTAGTTTTGCTGCTGCGGACATGGCACTTTTGTGAAAAGACTCGTGCTGCTGCTGCTGCTGCTGCTGCTGCTGCAGGTCTCGTTCATGAGCTCGCAGCTGTACTGCTACGGGAGCCGCTACTTCTCGCAGCAAAACATGGGGAGACTAATTGGGACAACATTTTGTTTGGCGGGACTTTTGTCTCTTTTGACAAACTTGATGAGGGAATATGCACTGAAACGGAGTTTTGCGCCGATGTGTCTTCTCGCAATTTCTTTGTCTTTAGTTGCTGCTGTTCTGATCTCTTTGCTGCAGTGTTTGGACCGCCGGGGGGCCCTGGGGCCCCCCCGGGCTGCAACAGCAGCAGCAGCAGCGAAAAAGGCGAAGCAGCAGCAGCAGCAGCAGCAGCAGCTGCTCGAGCTGCAGCGCATTGAAACCTGCAGCGAGCCCCAGAGACCCACAGACGCAGAAGAAACCGAAGTCAATAAAGATTAAATAAATAAATAAAAAGTAAATGAATAGATAAATAAATGAATAAATAAATGAATAAATAAATAAATAAATAAATAGATGATCTGTTTGTGAATAGGGATGTTTTCCACTGGGTGGGAGCTGCGCCCAGTCCTCAGGTCTTCAGAATTATTTATTTATTTATTTATGATTTATTTATGGTTCATTTTGTTTGTTTGTTTGTTTGCAAAGTTTATTCATGTATTTATTCATTTATTTATTCATTTATTTATTTTTTATTCATCAACTTTCCATTTTAATGCTTTTTGGTACTCGCTGCATGTGCGGCCCTCGCTGCATGTGCGGCCCCCCGGAAGTAGAACAGAGAGAAGTAAAAGAAAACAAATACATAAAACAAATTAATAAAACAAATAAATAAAACAATTAAATCAAACAAATTAAAAACAAATTAGACTAAACTTAGAAAAGAAAGAACGCAAAAGAAAATTAGCCTCGTTGCCAGTTCAGCCAGCCCAGACTCAGGTGTACGTACACCCGAACAGCACCCACTTCAAATTTCGAGACAAATCGGTCAAGTGAAACAACAAATGCATGCAGCGCCTTTTTAATTTCATTTATAGAAACAAGTGCATTATAGTTTCCCAAAAAGACCAGATTTGGCGGGGTAATTGCGTCAAAAAGTCAGATCTCGACGCTTCAGAGTGCCGGGCGTGCATGCGCTTTAGGGTGTACGTACACTACACACCTTTCAGCGCCATTCAGTCGATTTTTCCCGAACTTTTCAGAAATAAATGCATTTTCTTTTCGCCAGATTTAAATACTGGCAAATCTTTGCATTTTGAATGCAGTATGGGCACATTTAAACCTTCATTTCTTCGTTTCGAGATGCATGAAGAAATGCGAATCCCAGAGCCTTTTTTCTGAATTTAGCGGCGACAAATGGCCAAATAAATCCATTACAGCGCATTTACGCATTTAAGCATTTTAAATTGGTTAAACTGCAAACAAATGCATTAATTTGATGTAAATAAATGCATGTTTCATTTATTTTGTCAATTGAAATACAATATTCATTTCAACATGCATTTGTTCTGCTGTATTGACGCCGCGCGTGCTGTTTCGGGGTAAAAACGCAAAACGTCCATTTCTGCATTTTTTCTTTTTGCGAAAGAATAAGTTCATTTTCTTTAAAGAAATATATTTCTTTTGAGGCCTTTTATTCATTTAATGCCTTTTATTTTGCATGCAAAAGTGCAAAAGCCCACTTTTGAAACTTTTCGGTGGAAATGCAAAAGAAACACTTTTTGCAGAAGTGTGTCTTTAGAGGTGGCCTGTACATACACCAAAGAATAAATAAAAAGTGAACAAGTAGATAAATAAAATTTGATGAATAAATAAATAAATGAGTGAATGAATGAATAATTAATTAAATTTGCAAGTGAAGGGATTAAATCGTGTAAGGACCTTTTTGAAAAGAAAGAATAAAACAAACAAATCGAAAAATATCCGAATATGAATTCCAGGCTCTAATTGGCTTATTGTTTCCGAAACAACTTAATTAATTAATTAGTTAGTTAATTAGCTAATTAATTAATATCTTTTTAAACATTTTTATTAGTTAATTATTAGTTATTTACTATTTAATTATTTATCTGTTTATTTATTTATTTATTTTTTATTATTTCTCTTTGAGCGCCGTTGCGCCTAGCCATCGTGAGGTGCTTTTATTGTTTTACACTTTTTGTGATTTTATTTTTTCGTCAAAATATGAAATAAACAACATGACAACGTTTTAAGTATTTGATTACTATATAATTGTTTAATTATTATTTAATTATTTAATTATTATTTAATTATTCAATTATTTCATCATTTTAAAATGCATTTTGCTAGTAAAAGAATAAAACAAACACAAGAACAAAAACAAACAAAGATAACAAGACAAATAAAAACAAAAACAAACAAATAAAAACTAAAAACCAAAAAGGCCAAAACAAATATGAGCAAAAGAAGCAGCAAATAAGAAAAAATAAGAACAAATAAAAGCAGAAAATCAAATATACAACTTTTCTTGCATTTCTTTTCATCTTTTATGTTCATTTAGTCATTCATTTAAATGCATTTCTTTGAATTTTTCTTCAGAAAGTGCATTTGTTGCTTTTGTTTTTTTTGTGAAGTTACACATTTACAATTAATTTCGATTAATTTATTTTATTCTTATTTTTATTTCTTAAATTTATTTATTCTAATTAATTAAAGAATCAGCTTGACAACGAGCTTTCTTTAAAGGCTCTCAAAAATGAACAAATGCAAATTAATGAAATTTATTAAAATGAAAAAAACAAATGAAAATAATAAATGGAAATAATAAATGAAAGTAATAAACGAAAATAATAAGTGAAAATAAATGAAAATAAATGCGCAAATATGTAAATACAAATGTGCGTTTTTTGTAAATAATTGCTTTGTAAAATAAACATTTTTAATTAATCACTTTTCTTCATTTCAAATAAATCCATTTTAATTTAGAAATATAATAAAAGACTTCATTTGCAATTCAAAAGAAAGTTTTCTTTTTTTAATTTATTTCTTTTCTTTGCAAATTGTTTTTTCTAAAGTGCCTTTTCGTGTGTACGTACACAAGCGCCTGAGGTGTATAGGCACCAAAATAGATATTTGTTTTTTTTAATGAATTAAAAAAAGATTTCTATTTTTAAAATGCATTATCGAAATATAAATGAAAATAAATTAAAATATAAATTAAAATATAAATGAAATTTTCTTTTTGCCTTTAAATATGCACCTTTTTGGAATTCCAAATTTGCTTTTTTATTTAAGTAAAAATACAAATGCAAATATGAATATAAATACAAATGGAATTTTGAATATAAATGCAAATATAAATATCAATGTTACTTATATTTATGTAAATATGTATGTACCTTTATGTTTATGTTTATGTAAATATAAATTTGCACTTATATTTATGTTTATATGAGATAAATATAAATTTACACTTATATTTGCATTTATATCTATATAAATATAGATTTACACATACATTTATATTTATATTTATATAAATTTTTATATTTATATCATATTTACATTTATATCTATACAAATATAATGTAAGTATACAAGTTGAAATTTGTGTTTATATTTTAAATATAAACAAGAATTTAAACTTAAGTTCAAATGCCTTCATTTGCAGATTCATTTGTTCTTAGGAAGATAGGCCAGCAAGTTTTGGGTGCTTTGCATGCATTTATAAATGCCTTTTTATTATTTTTTTCACGGATTTATCATTTTAGGAGTTTAAATTCTTTGTATTTATTATTTTGAATAAAGTGTCCTTCAAATTTCTCATCTTTTGGTCTTTTTGGCGCAGATTCGGGTGTATGTACACCCCACAGTGGTGTGTGTTCGGGTGTATGTACACTTCAACTTCGCCCGTTATGTTCGCGCAGAAAAAAGTGTTTTATAAACGCTTTTGCATTTATTATTAATTGAAGTTTATTCTAATATTCAAAATTACTATTTTGTGCATCTTGTGAAGAGAAAAAAGAACTAGTTCATCACAGAAGAAGAAAAAGGTAAACATATTATTGAGACAAAAAGAAAAAAGAAATAAATAAATTCGCCAAATTTAAAATTTTTTCTTCTTTTCGCGGCCAGCAGCTGCATGTACACCTCAACGCATTTTGCGGACAAAACACACGAACTAAAAATGACAAAATCTGCTGCAGCAGCAGCAGCAGCAGCAGCAGACGTTGCTGCAGCGGCGGCAGCAGCAGCACTTGCTGCAGCGGCAGTGGTTGCTGCAGCAGCTGCACAGGCAGAGGCAGGAACTGGGGCAGCAGCAGCAGGAGCTGCTGCTGCAACAGCAGCTGCTGCTGCGGCGGCAGTAGCTACACGAAACTGCTACGAAACTTATTGGGGTGTTCCTGCTGCTGCTGCTGCAACTGCAGCAGCAGCAAAGCAGCTACGGGGAGACTACTCAAGCTGCTTCTGCTGTCGGTCTTTCGCTGTTGCTGCTACTGCTGCAACTGCAGCAGCAAAAAAAAGCTGCAGGTAAGCTACTCATAACGCTGCTGCTGCTGCTGCACGTGGAGCAGCACAGCGCAGCTGCAGCAGGCACACTGCTCAGGCTGCTGGTGCAGCCCTTTTCCCGTTGCTGCTGCTGCTGCTGCTGCTGCTGCTGCACTTAGGGCGCCGGTATGCATTCTTCGTTAAGGAAGCTCTTTAGAACTGCAGACACAGAAAAGACGAGGTGTACGTACACCTCGCATGTTCATTTCATTTTCTGCTTTTTTTAATTTTCATTTTAAACTTTTGTTATGTGCTGCACTTGATTCATTTCACCAGCAGCAGCAGCAGCAGTAACAGCAGCAGCACGAGCACCAGCAGCAGAAGCAACAGCAGCAGGAGTGACAGCAGCAGCAGGAGCGCCAGCAGCAACAGCGGCACGAGCAGCAGGAACAGCAGCAGCACGAGCACCAGCAGAAGCAACAGCAGCAGCAGCAGCAGCAGCAGCTAATGTTTCCTACTTGAATCTTTTTTGCTGAGTGTGATTTGCGCTTGTCTGTTTTTGGGGTGTATGAACACCCCGCCGAAAGTTGCGGGGATTTCCGCGAGAGGAATCAGCAGCACCGGCACAACTTCAGAAACCTGAAAAGAATTAAAATGGTATATTTTGAATAAATTTGAATAAGTTTGAATTAATTTAAATGTTTAAATCGATTTAAATTAAATTAAATCGTATTCAAGTCCTTTACTCCAGACAGCCCACTCGAGTGTGCCGAGAAAGCGATGTGCACATTTCGGGTGTACGTACACCTCAGCACATGTTGCGGCAGGGCAGCTGATTGAGTTCAAGTGTATGTACACCTCGAAAACATTGGACTAGTGGATTATATTTCATGCAGGTGTATGTACACTTCAATTAAATTGCAAAACATTTGAAATAAGCCGCTCAGTGGCGGCCCTTTTGAGGTGTACAGACACCTGAAGTGCTCACCGTCACAATTTGCGTCTCCTCAGGATTCCCCTCAAAAGCCGGCCAAAGAAAAGTTGCCTGAGTCGAAAATAAGTGTAAAATGAGGCCTTTAATCGAGGGTTTAGGGTTTAGGGTTTGGGGTTTAGTGTTTAGGAAGTTGCATGTACACCTGAAACGGGGTTGGGTGTATCTACGCATGGTCCAAAGCACAAAAAAGAGATTAATACTTTCTTTGTATTGAACTTATATTTTATTTATTTATTTATTTATTTATACTTTCAAATTCAGCAAATTAAATCCCTTGCCTGCTTCTGACTGTCTTGTTGCCCCTGTGGCTGCACAAGCCCTTTCTGCAGATTCAGAAAAAGAAAAAATAAACAAATAAATAAAGAAATAAACAAATAAAAGTGATTTGTTTTGTTTGAAATTAAATGTAGAAATGCAATTAATTGATTAATTGAAAAATAATTTTATTTATTTTCTTTTACAAATTTCACCTTTAACTGCTCAGGAATTCTTTTGCTGTAAATTCCTCTGTAGTAAATTTTCTGCGAAAAATAAAAAAGAAACAAAATTAAATTTACATCAATTTATTATTTATTATTTGTTATTTGTTCCTTTGTTTGTTATTTATTCTTCATCAGTTATTATCTATTAATTATTACTTACTGTTTATTCTTTTATCTATTATTCATTATTTATTGCTTATTATTTGTTATTTCTTATTTATTATATACTATTTATTAGTTATTATTTATTGTTTTATTCATTATTTATCATTCACTATTTATTAGGTATTATTTATTACTTTATTTATGATTATGATTTATTATTTATTATTTAGTATTTAGTATTTACTATTTATTATTCATTATTTATTATTTATTATTTGTTATTTTTAATTAATTTTTTATTTAGTTCTTAACTATTTACTGATTTCTTCTTAGTTCTTTTTCATTTGCCTTTTATAATTTTCTATTAATTGTATTTCTTTTGTTAATTTCCCATTTCAAAGAAACCAATTCTGAAGGATTTATGTAATGAGTTTCAATTGTTTAATGAAATTAAAATTATAATTAATTGAACTAATTAGTTAATATTAATTAATTAAATGAATTTTAATTAATTTAATGAGTATCAATTAATTAATCTAAATGAATTAATTCATAGAATTAAATTAATTTAATTAATTAATTAATTAATATTTAATTTAATTTAATTCCATTTCCCCTCACTATCTCGGAGTCCACTTCAGGCAAAAACACTGACAGAGAATGTTCGTCCACAGTCAGCACAATCCCTGAAAAGCAAAACCCTAAACCCTAAACCCTAAACCCTAAACCCTAAACCCTAGAATGAGGGGAAGAAAAGCAGTGCAAAGAGCAGCCTCAGCATACAAGTACTGCAAAGCCCAATAAACTGAAAACAAAAACAAATGAACTACTTATTATTTATTAATGCAATCTATTTACTATTAATTCATTAATTAATTTATTTGTTTTTATTTACTTATCTATTTATGTATTTAATTAATTATTTATTTATTTATTTGAAAGGATGTTTACCAATTGTGTCCATCGCTTCTTTCTGCCGCCTCAAGTAAATGTTCAATACGGCCTGATAAGCAACAAAAGAAACCCTAAACCCTAAACCCTAAACCCTAAACCCTGAAGTCCAAACCCTAAACCCTACACCCTAAAACCCGAGACTTGAGCATGCGAACCTCCTTGATAGCCACCCTCAGTTCTGCCTTCCACAAGCACCAAGCCTAGTCTCCAAACCCTAAACCCTAAACCCTAAACCCTAAACCCTAAACCCTAAACCCTCACCAGTCCACAGGCTTTGTCAGCTTCTCTCATATTTTTGTTTATGTCGTTGCACACGTCGCAAATTGCCTCAGTTGCTTCCTACAAAATAATAAGTAAGAAAATTAAATAATAAATAAATAAATTAAATAAATAAATAAATAAATAAGTAAATAAACCACAATAAACAAATGAATAAACGAACAATTTAATGACAAATAAATATACATAAAAATAAATAATAAATAAATAAATAACGAATAAATAGGTAAATAAATAGCAAATAAATAAATAAATAAATAAATAGCAAATAAATGAACATTATGAAATAGACTCCGCTAATTCCAAAGCCAAACAAATCCAAAAAAGTGCACAACTCAACTCAAACCAAACCAAACTAACTAAATTAAACCAACTGAATTAAATCAAACTAATTGAATTAATTGAGTTAAATGAATTAAATAAATTAAATTAAATCCATTAAATTAAATTAAAATAAATAAATTAAATTAAATTATTTAATTGAAACTGACAACATCCAAAGGGGGCTTTTGCTTTCCCTCAATTAACGCCGCGAGGCTCCTGTGGACCAGCAAGTCCGGATACCGCCTGCAGCAAATTTGCATTTTAAATTTATTATTTATTTATTATTTATTTATTATTTATTTATTATTTTCTTATTTATTTATTTGTTTGTTTATGTATTTACTATTTATTTATTTAATTTGTTTATTTATTATTTGTTTCTTTGCTGTTTTTAAAGTCCCTTTTGTCGTCTTTGCTAGTTCTACACGAGGCGGCGCAGTTCTGCAGCAGATGAAAT